GAGAGAGGGAGTCACAGACTCTGAAACAGCCTCCAGGCTCTGAGCTGGCAGTCAGCACAGAGCCCGATGCGGGGCTCGAACCCACGAACTGCGAGATCATGACCTGAGCGAAAGTCGGACGCTTAACCGACTGAGCCCCCCAGGCACCCCAAGAGCAGAGTTCTTAAAACCTCTGAACAGGTCAGATCCTTCTTCAACCCTCTGGTGGCTCATTCCCCTCATATCAGTTCCCACTCGTTTTAGCAACAGTAGTTGAAGGCTTTCTTTTCTCCGTTGATTTACGTTGGCACAATTTTGAAAATTAATCGACCACGTAAGTGTGAATAGGTTCAGGACTTCCTCTTCTGTTCCACTGATCTATTAATTTATTCTTCTGCCAATACTATACCATCTTGATTACTGCGGCTTTACAGTAAGCCTGGAAGTCCGATAAGGTGTTTCTTCCAATTTTGTTCTGTTTCGAAATCGTTGTGGCTGCTCCTGGTCCTTTGCATTTCCATATAAATAGTGGAAACAGATTGCCAGTTTCTATAAAAAGCCTGCTGGGATTTTGACTGGGGATTGCAATAAATCTATATATCAGCTCGGGGTGGGGGGGATGGATATCTTAACAATATTGAATTTTTCAATCTACGATCATGATATACCTCTCCAGTTATTTATATCTTCTTACATTTTCCAGCACTTAAAAAGACTGCAGACTGTTTATTGAAAAGTGTTAGTTGGGGCACCTGGGGGGCTCAGTCAGTAGAGCCTCCAGTTTCGGCTCAGGTGATGATTTCACAGTTCATGAGTTCGAGCCCCGCGTTGGGCTCTGTGCTGACAGCTTGGAGCCTGGAGCCTGCTTCCGATTCTGTGTCTCCCTCTCTGCCCCTCCCCCTGCTTTCATTCTCTCTCAAAAATAAACTAACCTTAAAAAAGAAAGAAAGAAAGAAAAGCATTAGTTGCTATTTACGTGAACAATGAGGAAGAAACTCTGCCAATCTATGGGAGGTTACATCTTGAGATGCTCTTCATTTGTGATGGATTCAATTTTTGTTTTAAACCACAAGTGAATCTCTAAGGTAGTATTGAAATACATGCCTTGAGTGCCACAAAATGGCTTCTTTTGTTTTAAGCATTTATTCATTTTTGAGAGACAGAGAAAGACAGAGCGTAAGTGGGGGAGGGACAGAGAGAGAGAGGAAGAGAGAGGGAGACACAGAATCTGAAACAGGCTCCAGGCTCTGAGCTGTCAGCACAGAGCCCGACGCGGGGCTCGAACCCACGAACCGTGAGATCGTGACCTGAGCGAAGTCGGACGCTTCACCGACCGAGCCACCCAGGTGCCCCCAGTGGGGCTTTTCAAAGAGTCGGCTCCATTGCGACCACTTGTCTGAACGTAGATACAGCCCGTGTGCTAAGCAAGGGGCGCACCCCCCCCCCCCGGCTTCCGTCTCCCCTCTGCCGCTCAAGGGCTCTGCACCTGCCAATCACAGAGGGGCCTGGGAAGGTGGAGACCGCAAGCACCTCACCCCACAGCTGTCCCATGGTTGGCACCAGATGCCACTTCGCTGCTGCCCAGCTGGGCACTGGCTCCAGAAACGAGAGTGTCCTCTAGGCCGGCCCCCCAGGCTGCCAGTCCCCGCCCGGAGGGAACAGAGTCTGTTTGTTGGGTTCTTGGAAAGACTGCAACAGGGAGATTAATGAGTGACCTGCAGGGCTGTTTACCACCATTGACGGACGGGGACAGCCTCGGCCGGAGGTCAGGTGGTGCTGGGGGGGCTGGACGGGGGGTGGGGGGGGCCTGGACGGGGCCACGGACGGGAGGTGGCCGACAGCTAGGAAAGCTGAAGTGGAAAACACTCCCTTGAAGCTGGCTTCTCCTCTACTCGGGGACGTCCCCGTGGATACCGGTGGCTTCTCCTCTACTCGGGGACGTCCCCGTGGATACCGGTGGAGGCGGGTGGAGCGGGGGAGCCACAGGGCTGGGAGTCACAGCCCGGATTCCAGGCCAAGTGCACTACTGGCTCCCTGCAGGACTTTGAGCAATCTTTGAGCAATCACTCCTTTCCACCGGCCTCACATGGCACTTTAGAAGGTGGGGCAGGAAGGAGGCGGGACTGAACTCCCCTGGTGGCTCCTCACATCTTGAACCGTTCCCGGCCCTTCCTCTTCATCCGGCTCCTGGTCCAGCTCTCTTTTCTTGGGGCTTGGAGACAGGGGAGCCTGTCTCCCGGGATCTGGAGTCAGAGGGCCTGGGTTGAGTTCTCCTTCGCTCCAGGCTGTGTGAGCCTGGGCTAGTGGCTCGCCTGCTCTGAGCCCCCGTTCCTTCATCTTTGAAATGGGCATACTCTTTCTTGCCTCTGGATTTCCTGAGTGAAAACCCGGGTCCATAAGGCACCAGACGTTCAACAGATGGTTTGCAAACCTGAAGGGCCAGGGGGACACTGGGAAGCAGCAGGCAGGAGACAGCGGGGTTGAAAGAGGAGTCGGCACCCCCTCTCCGCGGGTCTCACGTCCGCAGTACCTCACCCTGGGGCTGACCTTTTCGTGGGCTCCATAAAAAATTAACAGCCCAGCGAAAGGCAGGGCTCAAGTTGTGACCTCTGGCCCCTGGGGCTGCACAGAGGGGCGTTTCTCCCAAGGAAGGTCCTCACAGGTGGGCGCTGGACAGATGGGGGTGGGGGCGTGGAGGACCCTGCCCCCTCGAATTTCTCCTCCACTCGGCCTGATCGTCCACCATTAGCGACTTCCTGTGGCTTCAGTCAGGGGTGGCGGACGACAGTCCCCCCCAGTGTTTGTGAAGCCTGCAAGCTCAGAGTGGAGTTTTGCATTCGTAAATGGCTGGGGGGAAAAATCGAGAGTATTTCATGACATGTGAAAATTGTATGAACTCCAAACGTCGGTGTCCAGTCATAGTTCATTGGAACACAGCCACGCTCATTCATGCTTGGGGAGTGGTTTCCACAGCAACGAGGCTGCGCAAAGCCAAGGGCATTCCCTTATCCGGCCCTTTACAGAAGAAGCGTGCAGACCCCTGGCTTAAAGGAGAACTAAATAGCTTTGAACGAGGAAGTGCCTTCGGGAGATTCAGGTGGGGCTGTCCGGTGGGAATCCGGAGGGCCAGTCTCACCAGTAACCAGTCACCTACCCAGCTAGTGGCTGCGTCATGCCCCCTCTCCGAGCCTCCTTTTCCCCATCTGTATAATGGACACAGCCATTTCCTGTTTAATGCAGCATTGCCGGGAGTCTCTGCTTAGAGTCTGATTGTCATTCACCCTTTAGTGAGAAATAACTCCGACAGCTTTCCTCCTCACCCAGCTGAGAATGAGGACGCAAAGGCGGAGGTGAGGTGTCACACTGAGCCAGGGAAACAGGGCGGAAGGGACTCTCCTCTTCAAAACCATGTGCAATAGAGCCTCTTTCTGCCAGAGGCTGTGGCCAAGGGCAGCGGGCAGCAGGGTGGTGGCTGAGGCAGGGTCAGGGTGTGGGAAGAGAAGCAGGACGCCGGGCTCTGGGGGGGAGGGGTCCCTGGAGACTCAGACCTTCCTGGGCACTTCCCGGGCACTGGAGACGAGCCCTTACGGACGCAGATGCTCTCATGCTGTCCCTTCCCCGCTCATTCCGTCAAAGCCAAAGTCCCTGCGATGGCCCAGGGGCCCCAGGGATCTGACCCAACATGCTTACCTTTCAGATAGCATCTCCCTCCTCCTCCCCCCAACCCGCGGAGCCTCTAGCCTCTCCCACCTTCTTGCGCCACCTGCACCAGGAAGCACTTTCCAGCCTGAGGCCCAGGGCTGCTGGCCGGGAAAGGTGGTAGCCTCCCTTCCGGCCAAAACCCGTAGTGCCCAAAGCAAAATCACCAACGAAGAAACGGAGTTGGTTAGAAGGAAATGTTTTTATATCACACGCACACACAGGGGGTTCAGGATGACAGCGCTGTGGGCTGAGGACAGTTGCTGCTGCCCTCCCCCTAGGGGTCTGTCCCTCCCCTGGGGCCTCCTGGTGTGCTGTGTCCCAGCCCACGTATCCCTGTAGACTGGGGCACACCTGGCTTGGTCAGACAGCGGGCTTCACCACCTAAGGATCTTGAGCTCCACCTCCGCGGGGGTGGGGGGAGATCGGGGTCCTTGATGTCCTGGGGTCAAGGCTGCGCGCAGGACCTTGTTTGCCGAAGGGCTCAATGACGCACAAGGGTGGAGGGCGGTCTGCTTGCCACAGCAGGTGGTGAGGGCAAGGGCCACCCTGGCGGTGGGGGCTGGGCCGGCTTCTCCCTGTCCCCCGTCCCTGGAGGTCAGTGGCCCCAAAGCCGCGGCCTTTGACCACTCCCCTCAGTAGGGATAGGGGGACACGGCGATGAGCAGGACGAAGAGGCTCTGGTGGCGCGGCGCGGAGGCGCGCACGGTGAGCCGATAGAGGCCGGCGCGGGTGAGCGCGCGGCGGGTGTAGACGGCGCCGTGGCCGGCGCGCAGCGCGCGCAGGGCGAAGGGGCTGCGCGGGTCTGGCTCGAGCACGCTGAGCTCCGTGCGGTTGGCGGGGACGCCGGCCTCGGAGAAGGCGGCGAGGCGGGCCACGTCGTGGTGGGCGCGCACGCCCAGGGGCAGCGGCAGCAGCTTGTACTGCAGCATGGAGGGGCCGCCGGCGCTGCAGTCCTGCGAGCAGCGTCGGAAGCACGTCCTGCGGGCGGGACAGACAGATGGACTCCGGGTGCCGTCAGAGGGGACCTCAGCCCCAAGCCCCGCGATTCTCCCGTGCGCTGCCTGTCCCCTTGCCACCAGTGGCTTCTCTACAAGCACCACCAGCCCACTTTAGAGATGAGCAGACTGAGGCCGAAAGAAGCCTTCCCATGCGAGTGGGTGCCATAATCCCATAGGACTTCCAGGCCCACGCCCCGGGGCTGTGGGGTGGGCACAGGGCTGCGATAGTTTGGGGCCCTTCAGGCCTGCCTGGAACCCCGGGACTGAAGTCATCTGCTCTGGATTTGCAAACCGGGGGGTGGGGGTAGGCGGGACTCAAAGACACTTGCTCAGCCTCGCCCAGAGCATCGGTGCCCCCACCTCTGCCCCCAGCATAGTCTTCCCGATCATAGTAGAGTCAGCAGGGCCAGTCACCTTCCCTGACTGCTGCGGCTACAGCCTGTGTCCACCAAGGTCCCCAAGTCTGCGCATCTTTCCGAGTATCTGCAGCCAGTGTGACGCCCTGAATGTGTTTTGTGTTTGCTCACCGTGTGTGTCTGAGTCCTGGGGTTTTGTGGGGGTTTCTGGGTGGCACACGTGTGCGTGTCCCTGTGTCTAGGGTTTTATGGACACAGTCATGTGTTCCCATAGGTCCCACGTGTTTGTCTCGAATTCTGTCCCCGCCCCCAGTACCCCGCTCCAGCCACAGCGTCCCGGCGGTAAATGCAGGCGTTCGGCTTAGCTTGCGCCCATGTGGCTGCAGGAAGGTACACCGCCCTGCGGGCACAGACCTCACTCAGGAGTTCTGGTGGGGGTGACCCCCTGGCCCCTAGGAGGGCCCCTGCCCGAGACAGGGCCTTTCTGGGGGGAGGGTCTAGCCGTCCAGGAGCCAAAACGTAAGCACCCACTACTCCTGGCAGACAACGTGCCCCAACTTGCCCCCAGCCAACCCGGCCCTTACCCTGGGCTGGAGCCCTGCCGGTAGGTGGCCGGACACGGCGTGTCCACGCACTGGTAGCTGCCGCGGGTGTTAAAGCACATCTGGCTGGGCCCACACTCGATGTCGTTCTCCTCGCACTCATTGATGTCTGGGTGGGGGAGGTTGGCGAGGAGATGGGGAATGAAAGCATGGAGTCAAGTGGAATGGCCCAGGGCGGGAGCCGGAGACGGCATGGGAAGGGGGGGTAAGGAGAGAAATGTCTTCCCGGGAGCAGTGAGGTGGGCAGCCCCTCTCCCCTTGAACCCAGCCAATCTCCCCATCTCCCTAGGAGGGCACCCTGGGGACCTCCTGAGCCTAGAGCTGGGTTGCACAGCCTGGAAGAGATGAGGGCTGCCCTCGGACCCAGAGTGAAGGGTCCTTGACCCTCGTCTGCCCCAGGGGAAGCCCCACCCTTCTCAGAGGACATTCACAGACCCTCGTGGCAGAAGGTGAGGGACGGAGGCTGGCAAGGTAGGCTGTAGGCCGATTCCCACTCCAGGGGAGTGGGGAGGAGGAGCGGGCTGGCTCCCGCCCCAGCACATTCAGAAGAGTGCCTTGGCTTGGGAGTCAGGGGACCGCAGTGCCGCCCCCAGCAGCTGCTGCCTTGCCCATTGCTGGCTCTGTGCCCACCCTCCTCCTATCTCATCCAGCCATTTAGGGGAGGGCTGTGTTAGCCCCGGTTCACCGAGGCTCAGAGAGGTGAAGTGAGTTGTCCGGGGACACACAGCGGAGCTGGGATGGACCCCCCAGGGCTGCTCTGGGAGCCTGCCCATGCACTGCCTCTGGTTCCGGCTTGGGGTGAGGGCTCCAGCCTGGCTGTGGGCCTCCGGGGCGCTCTGAGTGGGCTCCCTGCCCCGCCCTCCTGCAGGGAGCCACCCCTTCCCATGCAGCCGTGTCCTGGCCCCTCCCGCACTGAGAGGGGGAGGGGCTGTGCGGCTCACCCTGGCAGTTTCTCCCGCTGGGGAGGAGGCGGTAGCCCTCGGGGCAGAGGCACCGGTAGCTGCCCTCGGTGTTCAGGCAGGCGTGTTGGCAAGAGTTCCTCACCCGGCACTCGTCTAGGTCTGCCCCGGGCACAGGAGGGGGTGGGGCCAGAGGCACACCCACTGAGTCACAGCCGCCCAGGGCGCCAGGCTCAGCGGATGTCCCTGGCTCAGGCGGCCCACGCCTTCTCTCCACCCTGCCCGCCCGTGTTCGCCCGGGGGGGGGGGGGGGGGGGGGGGGCCTGGTGGGCAGGCAGTTTCCACAGCAGACCCTTCTGCCCGGGCAGGAGCGCTGAAGGATGTCTGGCCTCAACATCACCTCCCCTTCACCTGCGCAGCCCCCTCCCCCCTCCCCCTCCCAGTCTCTGTTCAGGCTCTCAGGTCAACTTGGGAAGCTCCTGAAAATCTCCCTTCCTGACTCCTTCACCTCTATGCGCCAAAAGGAGCGATTCTCAAAAGCGGGTTCCGGGGAACACCTGCCGAAGAGGTAGACCCTCTCTCCGGGCCAAGTGTCCTCAAGTCAAATGGTTGGGAAAGTACTCCACCCGCCCCCTTCTTGGAAGCCCCTCGCCCATCAGGACAGCCAGGGGTGGGGCGCCCACACGCCCGGCCAGGGAGCAGGCTAGAACGCCGCAGGGGGCGCGTCCCCAGGGGGGTGGCTGGGGCTCGGCCTCACCTGTGCAGACGCCATTCTGCCGGATGAAGCCAGCAGGGCACCAGGCCCGGCCCAGACTGCTCAGGGCCCCGGGGCCCGGCTGGAGGGCGACCCAGGCCTGGTAAGAGCCCCTGGGGTTCGGGATACGAGGCCGCAGCCAGGGCGCTAAGGGGCCCCGGTGGCCGACGGTGGTCACGTTTTGTTCCCTGTGCTGGAGCGGGGTGCAGGTCTTGCCGTCCTGGAGGAGGGTCTGGCCCGGCGGGCACAGGCAGCGGTAGCCACCTTGGAGGTTCTGGCACTGGTGGGCACAGGTCCGGGGGAGCTGCAGGCACTCGTTGATATCTGGAAAGGAACAGACTGGGCAGGGCGCCAAGGGCACTCGGGGCTCGCTGCGGCCACTCCGCCGTCTCTCCTGGCCTCCTGCCTTCGCCGGGACCCAGGCGCCTGCCCCCACTGCGTGCAGGCCTGCCCGCAAGCCTTGCCCCTCCTCGACCACCTCCAGCCTCTGCAGCTCGGAGAGGCCCCGGCCTCCCCTGGCAGCTCTGAGCCTCGTCCCAGACTCCCCCGTACCCCAGCATCCTGGTGAGTGCCACTCTCCCAGCTAAGCCTCTCTGAGACCCACCCACCTCTCTCCTCCTCATCCTCCCGGGCTCCCAGGGAAGGTTCCGGTGCCAGACAGCAGCCGAGCACAGACCCGGGCATGGGGTGGGCACACAGCCAGTGCCAGCTGCCGCTCTGGCTTTTCACAAAACTCAACGACACCTTGTGTTAAGCACTCCCTGCTCGTGGGGCACAGCCAGGGGGTGCTGAGCGGGGCTCCAACAAGGGGCTGGGTGTCCCCGTACCTAGGCAGGGCAGCCCGGGGCCCTGGAGCCGGTACCCTCGGGGGCAGCTGCAGTGGTGGCCGCCTGGGCTGTTCTCACAGATCTGGTTGTAGCGACACTCGTCCGACCGCTCCCGGCACTCGTCTACATCTGGGGAGGCAGGCGTGTGGACAGAGGTGGGGCTGAGGCCCTCCCCCTGCCCCCGACAGACACAGCGTGCCTCTGCACATCGGGGCCTCACCACCGTCCCCTTCTTCAACCCCAGTGCCCCCAGGCGGAAGGCCAGTGTCTGCACCCCTCTCTCCCAATCATACCCACTCTGGAGGGTAAGAAGGTTCTGGATCCAAAAGGAAGAAGGGGCTTAAAAGGTGGGCTTTGGAGGCAGACTCCCCGGTTTGGGCTGAGCTTTCTCTTAGTCCTTGAGCAAGTAATTCTCCCTGTCTTGGCCTCAGTTTCCTCATCTGTGCAGAGGGGTCAGGTCGAGACCTCTTCATGGGGCCGTGGGGAGAACACTGGATCATGGGCGTGAGGGGTGTAGGGGCCTGATTCCAGGAAGGAGCTCCAGGGACCGGTAAGGAGGGAGGCAGCGAGGGCAGAGGGAGGCAGGAGGCAGAGGAGCCGTCTAGGCGGACAGGGCGTCCCCTGAGGCCACGGACACGGGGTGACCTCCTCTTCTGAGCTCCGGTTCCGCCACACTTGGCCCCTTCACTATGCCCGAGGAGCTAGAGGACCGGCGGGACCCGGGGGGGGGTGTCACCCATCCAGGGGCAGCACCTGAGTTCATCTCAAAGGCTTGACTGCAGCCGATTCACATCAGCTGCTAGGGAAACTGTCGAGGATTCCGAGGCTGCGTTTGGACCGGGCCGCGATCCGCGAGGGGAAACCGGGGAAGCGACGGCAGACACCGCGCTGTTTGCCATCCCCCGACCCGGTCCCCCTCCGCGAGCTGAGAAACCCGAGGTCTGGACAGGAACTGACACTTGTCCCACGCTCCTCAAATCGCCAGCAGCCGGGCCGGGCCAGGCCTCAGACCCCTTGAGCCCAGCTCAGGCTTTCTCCCCGGCCTCTCTGTTCCTTCTGCCCAGAGGCTTCTGCTTCGCCTGAAGGCCCACAGCCCCCGTGGCGCACAGCACCCCCTTCGCTGAACCCAGGTGACCCCTGGAGCACGGACGGCCCCCCCGTCACGCCCCTGTCACCTTCACAGCCAGCCCCGTGAGCGGCCACCCGGAAGCCAGGTCTGCAGTCGGGGAGGCAGTGGTATGACCCGAAGAGGTTCACGCAGCGCTGTCCCTGCCGGCAAAGGTCAGCACCCCATGCGCATTCATCCACATCTGGCGGGGCGGGCGGGGACAGGGGGCTGCGTGAACGCGTGGCCCCGGGCCGTCTTCCTCGTCACCCTGACCCCGGCCAACCGAACTACACAGGCTTCATCCCCAGGCCCAGGAGCCCCCGGCAGGGAGGTCCCTTCTTCTGTCGGCCCCGGAGGCCTCGGCCCGGGGCATCAGATAGGAGGCTGCCGACCGCGCCCCTCGGGCACCCGGCTCAAAGCCGGCTGGGGACTTGGTGGTGCCGGGCGTCCCTGGTCGAGGTGGAGGGGTGCGATGGGGAGGGTCAGCACCTGGACAGCGTCCTACGGTCAGATTTGTAGTCCGGAGGCTTAGTTAAGCGGACAAGCAGAGCAGATGGGTGCCTGCTCCCCCGTGGGCCAGAAATGACTGCTGTGTTGGGAAGGCGCCTGAGGCCGTGTCCGGACGCATGCGCACGTGGTGGGCACGCGTCTGTCTTGGCGGATCCCTCGCACCCCCAGTGCTTGAGCCTCTCCCATCTGCAGCCCTCCCAGCAGGAAGTTCCCAGCGGAAGCAGGGCGTTGCCACCCCCAGGCTGGCCTCCACGGCCCTCCGGAACAGGCCGGGTCCTGGCTCTGGAGCGCCCCGCGCACAGCCAGGCCAACTCGGAGGGGAGCCTGCGCGCCCCGGCTCACGCACCTCTGCAGTCCCCGTCGTCCCTGGCCAGGGCAAAGCCGGGCGGACAGGAGCAGGAGAAGCGGCCGGGTGCGTTGTGGCAGGTGTGAGAACAGGGGCTGAGGCCGTCCGAACATTCGTCCCTGTCTGGGAAGAGGGGGTGGGCAGAGATCTGGGGGTCCGCGCCCCCATGCCCCCCTCGGCCGTGCCAGGGGAGGGGAGGGCGCTCACCCACACAAAACTCTCCCTGCGTGTCCAGCTCGAAGCCCTCGGGGCAGCCGGCTTCATTCTCTTCTGCGAGGCAAAGGGGATGGGTCCTGAGCACACAAGGGCGCTGTACCCGAGGCGTCCAGGGACAGACGTGGCCAAATGTGGGCCCTCCTGCCGGGCTGGCCAGGCCGACGTCCCCTCAGGCCTGAGCCAGGCCAGCGCCCAGATCGGCAAGCCCGTTCCCGGCTCGGGCCTGGTGGGGGCGTTGGCTGTGGCTCGTGCCACACGAGCGGGCTAGACCGGAAGCTGGCGGACACCAGGGAAATCGGGAAGCAAAAAGAACACGGTGCCCACGCGCGCGAGGAGAACTCCCGAGAACCCCGAGGAGTGGGCATGGCCCCTGGCTGCGCGAGGGTGGGGGGTGTGCAGAAGGGGCAAGTGAAAGCATCTGATGGGGGCGGACAGCACACTGAGGGGCGGCGGCAGACCACGGTCTGGAGACAGAGAGGCCAGACTACCGAAATCGCTGTAAGGACGGCATGCTTCATAGAGCGATTACAGGGGGCCGGGTGAGGGTTTTAGAGAAAACCCTGCTGTTCCTGATACCCCACAAGGCAGGCGATGTCACGCCCACTTTACAGGTGGGAATACTGAGGCTCTGAGAGGGCCAGGGCAGTGCCCCCAAGGTCCCGCAGCTGGGAAATGGTGTGGCTGGGTTTGAATGAGGGTCAAACTGACCCCAAAGCTATGCTGCTACTGCTGTCCCGTGTTCAGGGTTAAAAGCGAGCTGGGATCTCAAATACTGGCACCAGATCTTTTCCATCCAGTGGTTGAGAATGTATGGCACGGGCACGGGGGCCCCTGGGAGTTCCCGCAGTGGCTCCCAGCTGCCTGGGTGGGGTCTCCGGTGCAGGCACCCTTGAGAAGAGGGGGCATATGGCTGGAGTCTTGAACATCAGCTTGGGGGGTGGACTTGGACCTTCATCAGGGGCCCTGGGAAAAGGCTCTGGTCCGCGATGAGAGGGTGCAGGAGGTGGGGTGGCACATCGGGGGCCCCTGGTGGGCGTCAGGGGAGTGGAGACAGAGGAGGGGGGCCTCACCGGCTTGCAGGGCTGCGGTTAGCTGGAAGTGCAGGGCCTCGGCCTCGGGGTCGAAGGCCGAGCTGATAGCCGAGGCCCGCAGGTGCTGCACCAGCTGGGGCTGGAGGCCCCGGGCCGCATCGTACTGGATGCTGTGGTTGCAGCGCAGGGACGCGGGATGGCTGTCCTGCAGGAAGCGCTGCGTGGAGCCCACGAAGAGCAGGCCGGGCCCCATCTGCACGTATTGCTCCTCAAAGTCCTGGAGTAGGAGGGAGGAGGGGAGGAGGGGCAGAGGGGGGAGGAGGGGCAGAGTGGGGAGAGGAAAAAGGGAGAGGGGGAGGAGGTGTGGAGGCGAAGGAGGGGAAGGGAGAAGGGGGTGGAAGAAGGGGAGGAGGGGAAGGAGGGGGAGGAGGGAGGAGGGGAAGGAGGGGGAGGAGGGAGGAGGGGAAGGAGGGGGAGGAGGGGGAGGAGGGAGGAGGGGAAGGAGGGGAGGGAAGGGAGAAGAAGAGAGGGGAAGAGGGGGGAGGAGGCAGAGGAGGGAGAGGGTATAAAGGGGGAGGAGGGGGGAGGAGGGAGGGGGAGGAGGAGGGAGGGGAGGAGGTGGAGGAGGAGACAGACGAGGGAGAATGTCTGGAATTTCAGCTGCTAGGGGGTAGGGCCTTAGCGCCTCATCAAGGGCGGGGCTGCGGGAGGTGGGGGCCACGCAGGCCTCTCACCTCTTCCTCTAGCGCTGGGGGCCCTTGAGCAGGTGGGTCCCTCTGGTCTATGCAGTGGGGGGGGACACCTGTTCCCGAGAGGCTGGGCCCAGGGCACCTCCCACTGGGCTAAGCGCAGGCCACGCCCCAGCCCACAGCTGGGGCGTCAGGACGGGTGCTTGGGACCGCCCCTCCCATTCTCTCCCCCACCCCCCTCTGCAGGCCTCGGGGCTCGCCCCCACCTGCACTTGAAGGTCCGCATCAGCCAGGCTCTTGGGGACGCCGCCACTGACCACCACGTCCAGGAGCAGGAGGCCATCGGGATCCAGGCCCCTGGCCTCCTGGGCCACCATGAGCCGCTCCCCTGTAATCCATCCCCGCCCAGCCTGGAGTCACCACGGGGGAGAGGCCCTGGGCTCAGGCCTCAGCACCCCCCGGCCCCCACGCCCGGAGGAGACCCCTGCTCGCCTGTGGCAAACTCCACGTGCGACTTCTGCAGGAAGCTGCCGCCCGTCAGAGAGTGGCCATTCAGGGCATCTCCACTCTCTCCAGCCAGGGCCCAGTAGACGGGGGCGATGGTGACCAAGAGCACGCGCATCAGGGGCCCTGGGCGGGGTGTGTGCCGAGACCGAGTTAGGGACCGATCCTGATCCTGAGGGCCGCCCCTCCCCGGCTCAAGGTCCAGCTGTAGCTCCCTACTGCCCCAGGAGGGCTCAGCCCCTTCCCTCCCTGCCCAGGACCAGCCCTGTGGCCTGGGTCAGGAACTGGATCAGAACCTGGGAAACGGTAAAGGCAAATATCAAGTTTGTGGAACTAACAAGATACATTTATATAAAGAAGGGAATGGGGGGGCACTTGGGAGGCTCAGTCAGGTAAGTGTCTAATCTTGATTTCAGCTCAGGTCATGATCTCACGGCTCATGGGTTCGAGCCCCATGTCGGCTCTGTGCTGACGCTCGGAGCCTGCTTGGGATTCTCTCCCTCTTCCTGTCTCTCTGCTCCTCCCCCACCCCCTTGAAATAAATAAACAAGCATTTAAAGAAAAGCAAGCAAAACGAAGGAGGGCATGTAACTTGATATTCAACTCAATTCCACAAATCCCGAGGGTGACTGGTCACCCCTGGAGCCTGGGACATATGTGCTGGACCAAGAAAGTCAACCAGGTCTCCTAACTTGCAGACGCCTTCCGGAAGAGCCTGGGGGAGGAAGGCTGAGGACTTTTGAAAAAAGAGCCAAAAATTTGCTCTGGGCATGGATTCTCAGACCTGCGTGTGGTGCCCAGTCCTCCTCAGTGGGCAGGGGGTCCCTCGGTCCGGGGAAGGGGAAACCCCACTCGCTTGGGATCAGGGATGGCGGAGCTTCTTGGAGAAACCACCGGCTCGGAAAAGAGACGTAGGAGGACCCGTGCCGGGGGCAGCAGAACCTTCGGCTCAGGTCATGATCTCACAGTTTGTGGGTTCAAGCCCCACGTCGGGCTCTGTGCTGACAGCTCGGAGCCTGGAGCCTTCTTCCGGTTCTGTGTCTCCCTCTCTCACTGCCCCTCCCCCACTTGTGCTCTGTCTCTCTCTCAAAAAATAAATAAATGTTAAAAAAAAAAGTGGACATTCCTTGGTTCTCTGGGCCCTCTAGCTAATTTTATTCCCCTCTGCCCACACCCCGTAATCATTACTAGCAATTCCTTCCTCTTCTATCAAGCTCTTACCTTAACATGTGGGGGAAAACCTCACTCAGCAAATCAGCGATTTTGAGAGTCATTATCTGACTGCATTCACAAATCCTGACTATTTCAGACTCTCTGCATCTGATTTTGATTTTGTTCTGTTGGGAGGTAGAGGAGGTGGGGAGGAAGAGGCCCGCACCTCAGTCCACCTGGGCTTAGACTCAGGTCTTAGGGGCGGTCCGATTTCCCTGTAGCACTTGGGCCCCGGGCAAGCCTTGGAACGCAGGCCTTGAGTCCTTCTGGTGCTGGAGGGGCCCGGGCGCAGGGGAGGCTCTGGCCCCCACTCACCCACACTAGCAGGGATGTGGCTGATGCTGCTGCGGATGGTGGCGACCCCGGATCGTGCCTCCTGATGCGCGCTGGTGTTGAGGGTGGCCATGGCAAACTCCTGGCCGTTGATCACCCCGGACATGCTGCCCCAGCTTCCACGGGGCTCCCCTGTGAGGAGGGAAGAGGAAAGTGACTTTGTCCACCTCCACGCCCTCAGGATAAGCCGGCGCCGTCACCCACCTCACGGAACAGGAACTGAGGCTCAGAGAGGTGAAGTGACTCGCTCAAGGCCACACAGCTCGTGGGTGATGGGCTCAATGCCCGGGGGATCCTGGCTCTGAGACACAGGGAGGCTTTTCAGAGGACATCTGCACTGGGAGGGGGCTAGCTTCAAACTGGGGCTCTGTGGTCACCTCCCTGGAAATCTGGACAAGGCAGGCCCCCAAGGCACGCTTGAGTGGGCTCATCTGTAAAGTGAGGAGGTGGACCACAGATGTGCCAAAGCCCTGCTGGGTTCTAGAACGCCAGGAGCTCGTGATGGCGGGGCTGGTGGGCTGGAGGAGCGGGGACGGTGCCAGGAACTGAGCGCCGTTGCCTGAACACCCTCCGTTCCATCCAGGGCCCTGGCGCCAGCCGCTCTGCTGCTGGTTGGGCCGCCGTGGGCCGGATTCCTTAGCAGCACCCGGGCCATCTGCAAGCAGGCGCTCTTCAGGACAGACCAGACGGACGGTGGGAAACACAGAGGGTGCTTCCTCGGGCTAATGGGCCAGCTGTCCCGTGGCACGGATGGCGTCCTGGGGGCTGAGAGACAGAAGCTAGCCTGCCCCTTCGCTCACCAGCTCTCTGGGGAAATTCACAACCAATCACCCATGATCTGTCAAGGAAGTAACATAAAACATTCAACCACCAGGATCCTAAATGGGCAAATCAGGGCTCTGGTTAATTCTGGATTCCAGGAAGCAGTGTCATTTCCTGCAGCCCAGAGCTGGGGGCTGATGAGATTTGATGCCCATCTGGAATGTCTCTCATCAACATCTGTGGCTCTGGGGTTTAGGTGGGGACTGGAACAGGCCATAAACCAAACCTGACCTATTAATAAGGGGAAGAGAAAGATGCTAGGGTACAGATCAGAGGCAGCAAAATGGCCTGGCAGCTTTTGAGGGGGACAGAAATGGGAGGCCAGGAATGACAAGCCACTGTCAAGTTTCTCAGACAAGGGGTGACTTGGCCGCCTCTTGCCTCCCACGAGGCCAGGATCGGGACACCCCGGGCTGATGGGAAACGAGGAAGAGAAGACAGCGTTCATAGTTAGGGAGCCTCAAAACCTCTGAATGCCTCTTATGTAGCAATGCCCCGTTGGAGGGACTCAGCCCATAGAAATATTCAGGCTGGCAGACAAAGGTGTGAACCACAGGGTAGTTTTTGGGGGGCAGCGGACACTGGGAAAAATCGAAACATAAACCCAAGGCTGATACTTATTTAATAAAGCCAATAGTGGGGCACCTGGGTGGCTCAGTCAGTTGGGTGTCAGACTTCGGCTCAGGTCATGATCCCGAGGTTTGTGGGTTCGAGCCCCGTGCCGGGCTGTGTACCGACAGCTCAGAGCCTGCAGCCTGCTTTGGATTCTGTGTCTCCCTCTCTCTGCCCCTCCCCTACTCACGCTCCATCTCTCAAAAATAAATAAACTTAAAAAAACAAAAACAAAAACAAAGCCAGCAACAAAGACGTTAAAGCATCCCATGATAGGAAACCACTGACGAAGATGTAGACTGGGTTTATTGTCACGGGCTGTTGTCCAAACTAGACTAAGTAAAAAAGGTTGTAAGAACAACCTGGAAGTTCAGCCTCATTCATAAAAAGCCTCTAATTACTAAAAAAGTGCATCTCTTTGCATTCAGAGGGAGAGAAATGTAGAGGGATATACCCAAGGCACTGCCTAAACTATTTCTGGTAACTGAATGGAGTGAGAAAATTGATAATTTTTTCTTCATAGATTTTAAATTACCTGGACTTTCTCCGATTAGCGTATAGGAGAATTTAAAAATGGTTGTTTCCATTTAAAAAGTAAGGGCGCTGTTATAAGTTGAAGTGTGTTCCTTAAAAAGATATGTAGGAGGAGCTAAGCGTCTGGCTCTTGATTTCAGCCCAGGTCACAATCTCACAGTTCGTGAATTTGAGCCCCACATCGGGCTCCGTGCTGGCAATGCAGAGCCTGCTTGGGATTCTCTCTCTCCCTCTCTCTCTGCCCCTTCCCTGCCTGTGCTCTTTCTCTCAAAACAAATAAACATAATTTTTTTAAACTTGAAAAAAAAAAAAAAAGATGTGTAGGAGTCCTAATCCCCAGACCTGAGAACGTGACCTTATTTGTACAGAGGTGATCAAATTAACGTCAGGTCATTAGGAAAGGCCCTCACCTAATAACTGGTGTCCTTACGTAAAGGGGAAATTTAGGGACAGGCGTGTACACAGGAGGGGGGCGGCGCCATGTGAACTTATAGGGAGAGATCTGCATGATGCTTTTAGGGGCTAAGGGACACCAAAGGCTGCCAGCAAACCACCAGAAGCCGGGCCCAGGGCCTGGAGCAGATTGTCCATCACAGACCTCGGAGGGAACCAAGCCCACAGAGACCTTGATCTTGGACTTCTGGCCTCCAGAACTGAGAGACGATACACTTCTGCGAGGCCACCCACTCTGCAGTACTTCTCTGTGGCGGCCCTGGGACACCCCCACAGGGGGCCTGTGCGGAGCTCTGTGGTTTGGGGTGTGAGCCCTCAAACAGGAGAGGGTGAGGGTGGGGCCCAGCTTGGAAACACAGGGAGGAGCTGCTTGGACCCGAGGCCGTGCGTGTGGCTGGGCGGCAGAGAGCCCCCGAATTTCTGGAGCCACACGTGGTGGCCTTCTGTCCCCGTCTGCAGGAGGTGAGGTGGCCAGGGGCCAGAGTGGGTCCCGTGGGTGGCCGGTTGCGGGTTTTAGGCAGGTTTGCAAGCAGCCAGGTGTTGAGTCCCAGTTCCGGGGCTGGAGAGGTCCCCGCTGGAGCAGTGGGGAAGTAACGTGGCCTTGTGTGCAGTGACAAACCTGTGATGACTGCCACAGCCGGACACAGAAATACAAAGCTACGGATGTGGCATGTCTGCGACACAGACCCGACTACCTTTTGGAAATAATATTCAGTGACTATCCGTCATGCGGTCTGAGTCATTTTACTGTGGTTTGGCACAAGGGAGAAGGGAGCTGAATGGGGGGGAGGGGCGGGCTGGCAGGTGTCACAATGCGAGAAAGCAGCCTCCGTTACTCCATCTGCCACGGCCTAATTCACAGACTTTTCCCAGCAGCCCCCAAAGTGGGCACCCGGATGGCCTGGTTTATTCTGCCTGCTTCACAGTGACGTGGAATATGCAGAGAAAGGACCCTGTCCGTGCCAATACGAGCGGCAAACACTTAGCATCTCGGAGCCTCAGTTTCTCCAACTGCAAAGGGCAGGGTGGGTAAGGCCTTTCCTCCTGAGGGTGTGATTCTAAGCAAAGGGAAGAGTGGTGGGGTGGGGGAAGAGGGGTGGGAGTGGGGGGTGGCTGGCAGAGCAGAGGGCCATGTCCCCCACCCCAGCCCCGAGTAGGATCCTCCCCCTCCCCCGTCCCGGCCCCGAGCAGCACATCCCGCCTCTATCCGCAAAGCTCTGAGCAGGGACACCCCATACCTCTCACGGCCAGGACGGCTCGGGCCGTGGCGGAGCCCAGGAGGTTGTGAGCGACGCACTCATAGGTGCCCGCGTCCCGGGGCTCCACTTGCTGCAGCCACAGGCCCCCGTCCGGCAGGGTCTGGAGCCGCCCGCCCGGCCGCAAGGGCTGGCCCGCACGCAGCCACTCCACGGTGGGCGCCGGCTCCCCTGAGGCCTGGCACTGCAGGGTCACGTCGTCCCCGGATCTGGCCGTCACGCCCCGGGGCTCCACCCGGAACACCGGCGCACCTGTGGGAAGCCCGGGCAGCTTTTAGGCACCTTTTGCTCTTTTCGTATGTTCAGCCGGTGCTTATTCGTTCAGAGTAGAAAATGTGGGGGTAGGAAGGAGAAAACAGAGTCACAAGGGGGCATCCTATCCGATTACCATTCCGAGTATTCCCTTCCGGACGCCGTCTCCAGGGAACGGGACTGTATTGCTCAGAGCTGCTCCTTCCTTCCGCTTTCACCCCGCAGTAAATCCTAACGACCTCCCCATGCCCTGAGATGCTCGGTTTTAGTGCCTCCTTGGCGTCCCACTGCGTGGGTCGATCACAGGGACGTTGCTAACGATGTCAGATGGGAGACGGGGGCCCCGTCACTGGCTGCGGGTGAGTCTCACCAAGTCTCTCCCCGGCCCTCAGTGTTCTCATCTGGAAGATGGTAATCCCTGTCCGCTTGCTGCCACAGACCCTCCGGAATGGCTGGAAGGTACAGGCGGAGAAGACCCAGCGCCGGTGAGGGCGGGGGTAAGGCAGGTGGCAAGTGGCAGCAACCGTGTGGAAAACCATCGGCCAGGGCACCAGTTTCCCGTGGCTGCTGTCACCAACGGCCACACACGTGGCTCCAAACGGCAGCAGTCTGCTCTCTCACAGCTCTGGAGGCCGGAAGTCCAAGATCAGCTGTTTCACGAGGCTAAGATCAAGGTCAAGGTGCCCTGCTTCCTCCAGAAGCTCTACGGCAGAATCCACTTCTTGCCTCATCCAGCTTCCGGTGGCTTCTAGCGTTCCCTGGCTTGAGGCTGTGTCCCTCCAGGCTCTGCCTCCATCTTCATACCCTCCTCCTCCTCTCCCCCTCCTGCTCTTACCCCCCCTTCTCCTTCCTCCTTATATTAATTACATTATAAATGAACGTTAAAAAGAATCCTTGACAGACTATTCCAACATCTGTTGGTGTCTGTGGATCAGCTCCTGTCGCTCAAGCTGGGATTTTCCTCGTTATTGGGAAGACGAGTGAGTTTCGACTGCATCCTGAACATTTGAAGCATGAAAAGCCCATAGTTCTTATTTAAACCTTCCATCGTAGGGGCGCCTGGGTGGCTCAGGTCATGATCCCACAGTTCACGGGTTCAAGGCCCGCGTCGGGCTCTGTGCTGACAGCTCAGAGCCTGGAGCTGCTTTGGATTCTGTGTGTCCCTCTCTCTCTGCCCCTCCCCCACTCACGCTCTGTCTCTCTCCCTCAAAAACAAACATAAAATTAAATAAATCTTCCCTCCTCTGCTGCGGCCATGAGGCCAGGTGCGGGCAGAAATCCAGCTTCGCTAGTTGGCCTCTGTGGACCCCCGGGAACAGGAGGGAGGCTCTGCTACTGCCGGGCAGGCGTGGGGGTTCGGGGCTAACAGTTGCCTCTGCTGACATCACCCTGGCTGGGGGGGTGGGGGGAGGAGCCAGTCACTCGGCCTCCCTCACTTGAGGCCGCTCTCCCAGGAGGGGTGGAGGGGGGCTCGGGACAGGGGGCAAGGGCGGAAGTGTGGGCCCCCCCGACTTGATGAGGCTGCAGTTTCTGACATGGTGTTCGGCTGGAGCACGGTGGTCATTATCTGAAGCCTCTCTTTTTTTTTCTTATTTTTCAGAGAGAGCGCGTGAGTGGGGGAGGGGCAGAGAGAGAGGGGACAGAGGATCCCAAGTGGTCTCTGTGCTGACAGCAGCGAGTCAGATGCGGAGCCCAAACTCCCAAACCGTGAGATCATGGCCTGAGCCGAAATCAAGAGTCAGACGCTTAACCGATGAACCGCCTGGGCGCCCCCATCTTCATCATTCTGAGGTATACAGCTCAGTAGCGTGGATACATCCACATCACCGCCATCCACCCCCAGGGCCTTTTCGTCTTGCAAAATTGCAACTCCAGGTCCATTCAACCACAGCTCGCTGCTGCACCCACCCCGCTCTGCTTTCCATTTCTATGCATTTGACAACTGAGTTGCCTCACAGAATTGGAATCACAGTGTTTGTCTTTTTGTGACTGCCCTACTTCCCCTGACAACTCTATTCATGTACCAGGTGTCAGACTTTCCTTCTTTTTAAAGGGTGAATAACATTCCAATACACGAATGGGTGAATTTTGCAGTGTATATATTAATAAAGCTGTTTTTTTTTTTAAAGTAATTGCTATGCCCAATATGGGGCTCGAACTCATGATCAAGAGTTGCATGCTCTACTGACTGAGCCAGCCAGGTGTCCCAAGCTGGTTTCTTTTTAAGGCAAAAC